AGAAAGAAAGAAAAAGAAAGAAAGAAAGAAAGAAAGAAAGAAAGAAAGAAAGAAAGAAAGAAAGAAAGAAAGAAAGAAAGAAAGGAAGGAAGGAAGGAAGGAAAGAAAAGAAAGAAAAGAAAGAAAGAAAGAAAGAAAGAAAGAAAGAAAGAAAGAAAGAAAGAAAGAAAGAAAGAAAGAAAGAAAGAAAGAAAGAAGGAAGGAAGAAAGAAAGGAAGGAAGGAAGGAAGGAAGGAAGGAAGGAAGGAAAGAAGGGAGGGAGGGAGGGAGGGAGGGAGGGAAAGGAAAGAAAGGAAAGAAAGGAAGAAAGAAAGAAAGAGAGAAAGAGAGAAAGAGAGAGAGAGAAAGAAAGAGAGAAAAGGAAGAGAAAGAAAGAAAGAAAGAAAGAAAGAAAGAAAGAAAGAAAAGAAAAGAAAAGAAAAGAAAAGAAGAAACAGATATCTTACAAGCTCTATGTGCCCTAGGAAAGAGAGCTTATAATGATTTAACACATGCATTTTATATGTGGACTGTCATGATAAAATATACTTGAAACTAATTAATATGTGATGCTCAGGTGGCCAAAATCATAGAACCAATTACATATCCATGTTCCATGGTTTCCAACTGTATCTCTAACCTTTGATAGGCCATAGGGATACTAGTCCAAGAGAGTGGGTATGGTTCAGAGAAAACCGAACTTCATTTCAAGGGTTAGTAATAAGAAGATCATCTTGGACCATTGGATCAATCCTAATTATACAACTTCCTTTGCTTCTATGGGATGACTAAAGGGTTTCAAATCTCCAGTTGTTTATCATAAAACTTGCAGGAGGCCAGGCACGGTGGCTCAAGCCTGTAATCCCAGCACTTTGGGAGGCCGAGGCTGGTGGATCAAGAGGTCAAGAGATCGAGACCATCCTGGTCAACATGGTGAAACCCCGTCTCTACTAAAAATACAAAAAACATTAGCTGGGCATGGTGGCACGTGCCTGTAATCCCAGCTACTGAGGAGGTTGAGGCAGGAGAATTGCCTGAACCCAGGAGGCGGAGGTTGCGGTGAGCCGAGATCCTGCCATTGCATTCCAGCCTGGGTAACAAGAGTGAAACTCCGTCTCAAAAAAAAAAAAAACTTGCAGGAATCTTGTCTCGAAATGTAAAATACATACTTAGTGGATAAGGAAAATATTTTCTCATCCCTACTCAGAAGAAAATAACAGAAAATTAAAGACAATAGAAAAGTATTGATAAGAAGCCTCAGAGAGTAAGAAGAGAATTGGATGAAGTGACAAAGACCAGAAATCAAGAACAAATTCTGTCCTTTAAAGAGCAGTGCCACTTTAGGCATGCCTTTAGACTTAAGTTTTCTAAGTCTACTTCTTTATTCTCAAATGATATAAATATCTGTGCTATCAGATTTGGGCTAGGACCAAATGAAACCTGAAGAAGTGGGTATTTTCTATAGTGTTGATGGTATTTGCTAATAATTATCATGGCTCATGAATCATCCTTTTTTCTTCTCCAAGGATAGGGATGAAAGTGACTGTATCTAAATTGCAATAGAAAGAATAAAAATAAGTTGGTAAAGGGCCTCCTAACTACAAGAATTGAGGAATCCTGAAACATATGAACTAAGAGAAATTCTGGAATAGCCTTTCTTGAAAATCTGTAAGGAAGAAGTCAGTAGTTAGGTCTCTTAAGCACCTCTGTTATAGTCTTACGTGGGAGCAGGCAGACAAATCACAGAACGTCTAGGTTTTACCTAGCACTGTAATGTGTAAGGCTATCAGAGAAACAATAAACCTGTTCCTGAGAAACTGGATGTCTTCCAAAGCTTGGGATCCTAGTGGTATAATTTTCATTGGCACTGAGAGTTGTGTCTTCAAGAAATTATCAAAACTGCTAAGTTAAAAATCATGACAAATTACTCACCTGGTTGCCTCCACTCTTGGGATTCACAAATACAAGCAAGGGTTTCATGAGAGGAGAAGAGATGGGTTTTATCACAAAAGGACGACCTTTGTTTTCCTGCTGAAAGAAGCAAGCAGTACTGTTAGGAGAAAGGAAGTGGAAAACCACCACCACCCCAATAAACCCTACATTCTGTTTCACAGGACTGACTCTTAACACAACTTCCACGTCAGGCTTGGAAGAAAATATCTCAAGTTATCATTTGCTCCAGATAATTAAGACAGGCTTTCTATTTTACTCTGTCAACTCCAAATATTCCAGAAATACTAGCTTTCATCTTCATCATAAGCATCTTGGGGATGACATTTCCAGGCAAACACAGAGGTTGGTTTTGTGTGTTTGTTTTTTAAAAGAACAGGAAGAATTCTATTGTAGTTAGAGTACAGTGAGGAGAAAGCAGTGGTAGAAGACAGGTCAGAAAAATCAGCTTGGACCAGATCTCACAGGACAAAGGAGGCTACGGAAAGAAAGTGGAAATTCCTCAGAATAAAACTCTGACACACTCACTTCCATCCCTCTTTTACTGGCTTTTCTTTTAAAGCTTGTTCTCTTCTTCTTTCGATTTGAAGCCTTCAGGGAGTTCTGCAGGGAAAGAGAGAAACACCTGAGCTCAGAGGCAGCCAGCCCGGGGGCTTTCCCATGCAGAACCAAGTAGAAGATGACGGCAGCGCATGCTGTTCCACTGCATGCTTCTCATGCTTTCACACTTCCAAGCCACTGTTCATGGGTAAGCCACAGACAGAAATCAGTCGAGTGCTTTAGAGTAAGCGACTGACTCTCCACCACACGGAGAGGAAGGGAGTAAGAACCCCAGAGGCTCTCATGGACTCACATAACAACACATGTTATACCTGCCAACCCTCCCAGTAAAAATGGAAGAATCCCAAATTCTCTGAGGGGCTCCAGTCTCCCGCCCAACCAGGTTCGTCTCCCGCCCAACCAAGTTCAAGTTCATCTCCTCGTATGGAGATCACCTATGTGGAAATGTAAAAAAGGAGGCCATTTTTCATGTTTTTATTTTTCTTTCTTGTTCTTTTTTTTTTTCTCAGTTTACTCTTTTGGTAATGATCTGTCCTAGTAATAGCCATAAAATGATTCTTGACCCTAATGGAAATTTATGACCCAACTGTCCTATCAGCATTGATGTCTGACTTGTAAAATGCAAAGATAATACTCACCTTCAATCACTATGACAGTGAGGTAGAAGTCATTGTTCTTTCTTTCTCTAAAGACCTAATGGTTTAAAAAGTTTTCCCTCCCCTGGTAGCCTTGATTTTTTTTCTTCTCATAAAAGTGCCTCAAGCTTGTTGAAATACAGTGATCACGCTCCCCCAACACACACACAATTTACTTTCCTGATCTTTCTCTTTCTAGCAATTGTATAAACCACAATATTGTGATTACTCCAACTAACCATTTGCTCTTAATATTTGATACAGATGCTTTGAGAAGAGCCTGTCATAGGGATCAGTCACAACTCACTGATTAAACACAAGATAAAAACAGATTTAATTAGTAGAGAGTCGATGATTAATTAGACTGCTACCTTTAAAAGGCAAGATATTACTGACCACATAATAGATGTTTAACAAAGTATTGACAGCAAGAAATGCAGAATTCTTAAAAGTTTATATAAGTATATATGCATGCATTGTTTAAGTTGTCAAACAGCTTGAAGAAATGTAAATGCCTATTCTTCTACCTTTTAATGTATTCTTTTTTCTTTGAGCATTCAAAATAATCTTTAGTATAAAGTACATATCTTAAGGCATCCAAATTAGTAAGCTTCTAACTATTTAGCTTTTATTTTACTTTGACTTGGATTTGGAAAAAAAATATAAATTGATTTATGACCTGTGTTCACCAGGGATGACGGAAATTTTCAAGAACTACCATCTGTCCCAAGGTTTTCTTTTCCCATTAGATTAAAAGATTTCAGAATCTCAGAGTCACACCAGGAAAAGGGAGATCCAGGAGTTCATGGGTGCTCTAGACCCCAGGTCATTCCTTATTACTCACTGTTGCCTATACTTCCCCCTGAAGATAGATCTTCAAGTTTCTGAATTCCCAGTTACAGGGGTCTTCTATCATGTGCCTCACTGAGGAACATTTTGCATTATGAAAGCATTTGCTATATTTTGATAGATTTCTGTTTTAAACTGTTTAAAAGGGAAGAAAAATGATTTGAAATCATTAATTGTTTAATCAGCCAAATGATCTAAGAAGAATGCTGGAAATCATAAGGCTGGCAGGAGCAGTATGTATTTGGGGTCAATTAACGATGCTCTAAATGGTTCTCAACTATCACTGCACATCGGCATCATCCAGAGAGCTTTGAAAAATGCTCATGCCTGGGCCCCATTGACTATTCTTTTTTCATCTGTTTGGGGTAAAACCCAGGCAAGGATGCTTTTTAAAAGTTCACCAGGCAATTCTATCATGGAGTGATGGCAGTAGAAAGAGGAAGTGAGGAGATACATAGATTGTGCTAAGCAGAAGATGAACAGAGACAGGAATGTATGTCTAGTATGGACTCTGACTCTCCCTGTTATGAGATCAGTGACCTTGGCCAAGTCAAACTTTTGAAAATAGTAGTTTCTTAATTTTAAAATGATGGTGACAATACCCACCTCACTGGACAGTTGTGAAGTTATAACCAGAAAAGGTATGTGAAGCAGTTAGCTTGGTATCCATCCCACCATAAGCACTTCAGTACATGTTAGTTCATTCTAAATAATGCCTCATTCTCAGCCGTGTGTCCCCAGCACCTAGCACAAATGCCTGGTACACAGTGTGCACTCAAATCATTGTTGAAATAATGAATAAATATTACTATAATTCACAGCACTTACTGAGCCTCTCCTGATATGGGAAAGGATCCTTGGGAAGTGAATGCTTGCATCCTAACTTATTTATATTTCAGTTCATTTACTGCCAAGAGCAATGCCGGACACCAGGTGCCTACAGGAACATGCTGTGAGCCTAGGTCCCTGACAGTACTCGGCAATTAAACTCCAAGACACAGATCTAACACATCAGGCTAAGAATTGTTTCCTAAACTTGTCTGATCATAGAACTCACAGTATTTCAGGTGATTTTGATGATTAAGCACATGTGGGGAACACAGTTAGAAAAACACATTAAAGTAAGGCTTGATGTCTGAAAACAGAGCAGGCAAATAACTCAATTCTTATAGGAAACAGACACACAAACAGGCTTGCTTTTTTTTTTTTTTAACACAGAGGTAACAAATACAAGTGTTTCTGAGCCTCACCAAACCAAATGCACCTGAGGCCTTCTTCACTTCACAAAACAAGAACAGGGCAGAGATCAAACACAGTGGTTGACTTACAGTACCTGGGCGCATCTATGTGACCTCTGAGTAAGCTTACAGCCCTATGGACAGTCAAACAGAAAAGATAAATAGGAAGAATTTCACAGCACACCTCAAAATCCCAAGGCTTCCTTCTAGTTTTGTAGAAATATGTATCTCTAAGTATATACCTTCATTTAGAAGGCACCACGGTTGAGTGAGGAAAAGATGGGCTTGAAGGCAGATTTTTGGATATATTTTGACCATGACTAAATCACCTACTCCTGATAATCTACAGGATCCCTTATCCTGCCTGGGTCAGTATTGTTGAGAAACTTCAACACAATGGCACGCTTCGTGAGAATGTTAAAATTACATCAAGAAGTGACTGTGTAGAATTATTGGTGATATATTCAAGAGACCTTTAACACTTATGTTCGAAAACAAAACATCTCTATTATATCAAGGGCAGCTAACTCAGTGACACAAAGTGTTCACTTTGCAAGATCAACACTGAAAACACAGTGAAGTGCTGTACCCTTACTTGGATTTTTGCATTCTTCTGATTCCAACAGCAGTCGCCCTGCTCTAGACATTCTGTGCCTGCTCTTTTGTTAAAGACCTAAAGAAAAAGGCTTTTTGTTTTCTTGTACTTCATACCAGGATAATTTTACCTTGCCACAGAAATAAATGATCCTATCAATAAAATCCTGATCATACTTATGACTCCTTTCTGGGCTATTAAGAAATACTTAACGGGTAAATCACTCAACTGTGACTGAAACTTAACTACCTCTTATTAGTCTTCAGGGTCTTTTCCAGATTATAAGATCACAAATGACTGGTTATAATAACAGATCTCAAGAGAAGAGATCTGTATCCCTTCTCTGTCATCCCAAATAAAGTCTTCCCCCATCATATACTGGACAAAACTCTGGTAGACAATAGGAAAGAAAGTCATGGACGTAGTCTGTGAAAGAGCATTCTTACTCTGCTGTGCTCCCATTGTGTCAAGGAACAAAGGCTGCTGTGAGGACAGGCAGGCAGGAGAATAAAGAAAACTTATTCCAAAAGTTACAGACAGGGTCCCAGCAGCGCCAACTAGGCCTTTTTGACTAAATCACAAGTAGTAATGAAGCTTGAGAATTCACCAAAGGAAATGGTTTGGGCAATTTGGAGGCTAATTTACAGGATATTACTGGTCATTGCACAAAATTAGCCATTACATTTCATGGGTTCCCAGCATTTTAAGAAGATTATCCAACCAGAAGAGATAAACAAAAAAAGGAACTATTATAAGGAAAGCTCATACAGAGCTAGGAAGGAATGAATGCAGCATTATTTATAAGAAGAACATTAGAAACAATTCCACTAGTAGGCAGATGGATCAATAAACTGGGCTATATCCACAGCATGGAATATATACAGCATCTTTAAAAATGAGTTAAGCCTGCACACAGTAATATAGACTTTTCCCCAAAAATTTTTTTTTCTTTTTTTTTTTTTTTGAGACAGAGTTTCGCTCTTGTTACCCAGGCTGGAGTGCAATGGCGCGATCTCGGCTCACCGCAACCTCCGCTGCCTGGGTTCAAGCAATTCTCCTGCCTCAGCCTCCTGAGTAGCTGGGACTACAGGCGTGCACTACCATGCCCAGCTAATTTTTGTATTTTTAGTAGAGGTGGGGTTTCACCATGTTGACCAGGATGGTCTTGATCTCTTGACCTCGTGATCCATCCGCCTCGGCCTCCCAAAATACTGGGATTATAGGTGTGAGTCACCATGCCCGGCCTCCAAGAATCTTTTTCTTACTAAAAAAGTCAAGTTTTAAAGCATTATGTGAAGAATGATGTCATTTATTAAAAATGCACACCCTTACACTCAAACTGGTTCTGTGTCTTTTCTGTGGGTGCATTTCCATGCATGTAAATGTACAGTAAAAACTCAGCATATATCACAGAAAGAGACAGGGGAGATATTTATCATTTTAAATGTTGGTGAAAGGCGACTCTCTTATCTGAAATGTTGAATTTTTACAGGGAGCATATTTATGTATTACTCATGTTACTACAAACTAAACAATAAAAGATTGAGCATTGTCATTCTTTCAAAGAAACCAGCTTGCTCTAGTGAGTACTATGAAGTCACAATGGGCTATACTGAGGAAAAAGAATGAAGAATCCATTTTATATTCTTTTTAGAAGACAGGAGAAGCCCAATGAGATTAGTGAGAAAGTTATAAGAAAGTGACAATTTGGAAAATTTAGGGGATCAAGTGCAAAATATATTTTCTAATGGTGTCATCTCATGATACACAGGTTCTGTGAAAGCCTTCTCAGCTGTGGTCTTCTACAACTTGACTCCACAAAAAATTCACATAAATCTCACTCCACCAGCTCCAAGTGTGTGCGCTGGCACTTGAACATCTTTAAGTTGCCTGTCCAATCAAAATATCATCTAGTAATATTTCCTGTCCAAAAGAGAAACACTGATATTTGCAACTTAAATAACTTGGACTTCAAATATATCAACTTGATTCTTAAAATTGGGGTATTTTTAAAATTTGAATTATTTAAAATCATCTACCTTCCATTATCTTTTCATTTCTATAAAATAACTTCTTCATCTCTCTAAATAATGAGGTGATGAAACCCAGCAATTCAC